TTCAGGGTATAGGGTTTAGGGTATAGGGTTTAGGGTTTAGGGTTTAGGGTTTAGGGTTTAGGGTATAGGCTATTGGGTTTAGGGTTTAGGGTTTAGGGTATAGGGTTTAGGGTTAACCTACTGTGACTAAGTACCATGATCCTGCAAGTGGGTAGTTCTCTAAATTAGGGCCCTTTTAGGGGGTACTTTTTTTTTTATAAGGGTGCCGTACTATATCGGGGGGACCTGAAAAGGGACCCCAATTTAGAGAACTACCCAAGTAGACCCCTATTAACCCAACATCCAAGAGCCTGAACCCTTAAACGCAAAACCACCGACACTAGCGGCCTTGCGCCGAGATAAACCTCAACCCGAAGTTCCCAGGATTTTAGAGTTTAGGGTTTAGGGTGTAGGGTTGGCCCTTATAAGTACAATACAGTTCCTCCCCTGTAATAATAGGGATACCCCTTAAAGGGCACCCTTCTCAACCCTACTTCTGGCTCTCTTAAAAGGGACCTTATTTGGATTGTCTACATCCTCAAGGGTCCCCCTAAACCTAACTCCTAGTTCCTTTCACGTTTGCTTTCATGGATCTACAGAGCTTACTATGGGCCTTAGACTTGGTATTTGGGACTCTCCGAAAGTTAGGGTACCTTATTTTGGGGTCCTTATAATAAGGAATCTATTAGTTAGGGTACTATTTAGGGTCCCTTATTTGTGGAAACTCCCATTTAAGTTTGATAGCATGACAAGGCACCCTCCGGAATAGTACTATCGAGTGTTCATGCTTCTATATCTAGAAGATCCCTACACCCTAAACCCCAAGCCCCTAACCCTAAAATCCAAAAAACCTGAACCCTAAAACCCTAAACCCTAAACCCCTAAACCCTAAAACCCTAAATCCTAAAACCCCTAAACCCGAAACCCTAAACCCCAAACCCCCTAAATCCTAAAACCCCAAAAACCCTAAAAACCCTAAACCCTAAACCCTGAGCAGCAAACCTTAAGCCCTAAGCCCCTCTGCCCAGGCCGGGACAGAGGCCGCGATTCAGAAGCTCAAGGCCGATCCTTTTTTATAGGAACCCAAACAGGGCGTAAGCATAAGCATTTTATAGGGATATCCCTACCCTTTCGGGCTTCATTATAAGGGGGGTTTACATGAAATACCCCTATCCTAATTTTTGCTTATGTGCTTTTTTGGGGCCCTAAATCCTAAACTCTTGACCCTAAACCCTAAATCCTAAGCCCTATACCCAAACCCCTTTAAGGAACCCTCTAAAGAACCCTTATAGATCCCTTTAAGGAACCCTTATAGATCCCTAAAGCTCATGTGCTTTTTTGGGGCCCTAATCCTGCGTGTTTTCTCCATGGGAGCTCTTCCAGGGTTTATAGGGTTTTAGGGTTTAGGGTTCAGGGTTTAGGGTGTAGGGTTTTAAGGTTTGGGGCTTAGGGTTTATTCCCGTTAGGTTTTGTTATTCGTTTTGGATGGGGTTTGGGGGATTAGGGCTTAGGGTTTAGGGCTTAGGGCTTTTAGGGTTTAGGGCTTCTAGGGTTTATTTAGGGTTTATAGTTTAGCAGGGGAGTGGCTTAAGGTTTAGAGTGTGTTGAAAGGGAGGGGGTTTCGGGCTCAGGTTACAAATTCTGGGGCTTGGGGTGCGCCCTCGCGCTCCCGGTTTGTAGCAGAAAGCCATCAACCCTAAATCCTAAACCCCAAATCCAAACTCATAAATCCAAACCCCTAGACCCTAAACCATAAATCCTGAATACGAAACCCTTTGCCCTCAAAGCCCTACACCTGAAACAGAAAAACCTAAGCCCTAAGCCCTCAAAGCCGTAAGCCTTCAACCCTCAAAGCCCTAAACCCTCAACCAAAAGCCCAAACCCTGAAAGCCTTAAACCCCAAATCCCAAACCCTAAACCCTACCAGCACCCCCAACTACCCTCTAGTATACCCTAAATACACACTATTCAGGACCAGAATAGCTCCATGCAAGGGTACTTCGGGGGGTGCGGGTAAGCCCTAAACCCTAACCCCCCCCTCAAAATAAAAATAAAAAACCCGAAGCTTGGTGCAGGGAACGGCTGAGAAAGCCGGAGCTATGCAGGCGCGGCTGCCGGACGCCCAGTCATAGTGGGCCTGCCTCGGTTTAGGGTCTAGGGTTTAGAGTTTAGGGTTTAGGGCGGTTTTGGGTCTTGGGGCTTGGGGTTTGGGGTTTAGGGTTTTGCATAGGGTCCTGTCAGATGTTTACAATATGGTTTATAAGTTAACGTAACGTTTTGATATTGGGCCTGCCTCGCTCGCAGTTTTCTCTGGGGGTTTATCAGGTTGGTATAGGGGCTTGTAAGCTTTATTTCAGGGTTTATGAGGCTGTTGGCGTCCCTAAACCCTAAACCCTGAACACTAAACCTAAACCCTGTTAGGGTTTTACAGGGCTTTCAGCTTTCGAAGAGCTTCGGGTTGAGGGCTCAGGGTTTAGGATTTGGGGTTTTGGGCTCTAAGGTGATTGGGCCCTACACCCTAAACCCCATACCCTAAACCCTAAACCCTAAACCCTAAACCCTAAACCCTAAACCCTAAACCCTAAACCCTAAACCCTAAACCCTAGCAAAGACCCAAGGTTTCTTAATCAGGTTCCCCTATTAAAAAAAAAAAACCTGAACCTCAAAACCCTCAACCCTCAAGGGTTTAGGGTTTAGGTTTAAGGTTTAGGGTTTAGGGTTTAGGGAAGCCAAACAAGCTAAGTACTTAGTAGCTGAGTAGGTAGCCTTTAGCCTTTTGGGGGTGTATATAACCCTAAAATTATTAAAAAGGGTTAACCTTTCTGGGCTAGGGTTACTCAGCCCCGAATACAATCTATCAAAACCCACGACCCTAAACCCTAAACCCCCAAATCCCTAAACCCCTAAGCCCTAAACCCCTAAAGCCTAAACCGCGCGTCCGAGCAAGGCTCAAGACCTCTGGTGGTTTTCACACAGACCTCATGAAGCTCCTTGGCCTGCATCTTTGAGATTTCGGAGGGATTAGGGTTTAAACCCTAAACCCTAAACCCTAAACCCGAAACCCAAACCTCTAAACCCTCAACCCCGAAACCCAAATCCTTAAACCCTAAACCCTATCCCCAAACCTCTAAACCCTTAACCCCGAAACCCAAATCCCTAAACCCTAAACCCCATCTTTTGAGTTTCGGACTTCGGACGTCGGGCTTCCCAGAGACTCCATTACCCCTTACTTAAGGAATACACCTTAACCCTAAACCCTAAACCCTAAACCCTAAACCCTAAAACCCTAAACCCCCTAAAGCCCTAAAGCCCTAAAACCTGAAAACCCTAAACCCCTAAACCCTAAACCCTAAACCCAAATATGATCTAAGGCATAGGAATATTGGAGTCTCTGGCTTCCTGAGGCTGAGGTTGTAGGATTCCGGAGCTGGGAAAGCCCCTAAGGGGTTTAGGGCTTAGGGGTTTAGAGTTTAGTTAGGTTTGGGGTTTAGGGTTTAGGGTTTAGGGTTTAGGGTTTAGGGTTTAGTTAGGGTGTAGGGTTTAGGGCTTTGGGTTTAGGGTTTAGTTAGGGTGCAGGGTTTAGGGTTTAGGGTTTCGAGTTTAGTTCGGGTTTAGGGTTTAGGGTTTAGGGTTTAGAGTGTAGTTCGGGTTTAGGGTTAAGGGTTTAGGGTTTCGGGGGTTTTCTAGGATTAGGGTTTACAGTAGATGCCGCTGCCCAAAAACAAAAGTTGCAAACCCAATGGCCTCAGTCCTTAAGACGACTAACGTGTACTGTAGGTGATCCCAGCACTAATTGTCCTTTATCCGGTTTTCAACGTTGAGGGGTTTACTATAAGGTTTTCTAGGGTTCAGGGTCTAAGGTTTACGGGTTTGCAGGGTGACTAGAAATACTATATTAGTGGATTTGTAGAAAGAACCAGGTTCTGGTAGAACCCAAAACCCTAAAACCCAAAAACCCTACAGCCCTACAGCCCCAAAACCCAAAACCCAAACCCTAAGTTTGGGATCTTAGTGTGTGCGGCTTAGTTTGGTGTTTGGTACAACCCCAAGCTCTGGGCTAACCTCCCAAAAAAGCTTCTGAACGAGGCCATAAGAACGAAGACGAAGACTGACATAGGGTTTCCGGTTTAGGGTACAGGGTTTGGGGTTTAGCTTGGCGTTCTTCTGGTTGGCTCTTAGGACTTTAGTTTTTTGGGTTTCCATACGGTTGATGGACAAAGTCCTGCATTACCCACTATAAGGAATATACCATAATTCCCATAGTTTAGGGTCCTTAAGGTCATGCAGGATTTTGTCCATCAGCCGTATGACCGATAATAAGGAGGCTAAAAGTTTAACTTTTAGGAGGGGTTCAGAAGTCAGCCAAGTTAAGATGCCGAAGCCTGATGGAAAGAAGCCGTACACTCTTTCAAGCCTAGGTCGCCCTTCTAAAGCCCGACAAACAAGGGTTTAGGGTGTGGGGTTTAGGGTTTCGATTCCACGTAAGGAGCTGGGCTCTTGCTGGGGAGTTTAGTTCGCGCGCGTCAACAGGGCCACACGAGCTGGAAGATAAAACAAAATCGCGTCAAGGAGCCAGACGTTCCTCACTTCTTTCGCTTCGTGGGTCCGACGAGAGCCGAAGCATAGGCTGGGATATCGTCACGAACGACAGACCTCAAGCAGAACATCCCAGCTGCCGATGACGATGACGAACCCTGGCCCCCGAATGCGTGGACCCCTCGAGGACAGAACTGTCTGCCACCATTGGACACATGGTGCCACTCGATGAGCTCCAGGAACCCAGAGACTCCAATACCCCTTGATTAAGGAATATACCTTAAACTATAGGAGGATCCCTAATATGATTTAAGGTATATTCCTTAATTAAGGGGTTTTGGAGTCTCTGGGAAGCAGGGTCGAGACACTCCTGCGACAGCACCGAGACGAGAGAAGCAGGCCCGGCTAGCAAAAAGCAAGCTTGCACTGCGCAAGGCCGGCGAAAACTTTGCGTTCTTCTGGCTGGCTCTTAGGACTTTAACTTTTCGGGTTTCTATATAACTATAATAAGGA